CTTTTTACAGCACCCCTGTATCAACATCTGTGCAACAGATGAAGAATGAGTTTTTTGGGTTTAGTGGAACACTCTTTCTTTAGGCACTAGTAGGGGCACCAAGTGCTTTACAAATAGCTGTCAGGGACTGGATTCTTGTTAATGTATTATTGAGGCTTTTTGAATAATTTATGGTCTTCCTGCAGCAGAACAGAAGAGCAGGGCTGGATGCTCCTGTGGACGCAGGCCAGACTTCTGCTGGGAGGACCCAGCCTTGCCACGGCAAGAAGGGGAGCAGGGATGGGGACAGGGCGGGTGGGGCCCGGAAGGAGCAGCAGTGGAAAGACGCGCCCCACTGCTGGCCTTGTTAGAGACTGGGGAGCGGTGTCTCAGGCTGAGAGGCTTCGTGGAACACACGGAGAGGAGCAGCCGTGAGCGCTCTTGGATGTGAGCACAGCGCCAGGGCGCGTCTCTGAGCACCCAGCGACGGATGGCTGATGAGAAGCAGCACCCAGCAGTCCACTGCTGGCCGATGAGGAGCACCCAGCGGCAGGGTCTGGCCTGGGGGTGGGAGAAGCTCTGAGGCTCGAAGATAAGACGGGCCACCCGGGGGAGCTGGTCAGCACAGTGTGGCTGGTGCTGCAGGGACCGATATGAGTTTCCCGCATCTGGCCCTGCTGTTCTTCCAGTTACAGAGAGAAACAGGTCTGCTCCCATCACTGACGCATCTGTGTAAGGGGAGGTCAGCCCTGTCTCTCTCTACCGCTGCCCTGATGGCAGAGCGTCCAGCCCCGTGGAGGCCGAGGGGATGGCTGGGCATTGCGGGGCAGCAGCTGCGTGCACAGTGAACTCCGGGGAGCAGCGTCCTGCACTAGCAGGAGCGGGCTCAGCTCAGGGCCTTCAGCCGGGCTGCAGAGGGGTGTGACCAGGGAGTCACTGGTGACACCGCAGAACGGATCACAGGCAGAAAACAAATGCGGGGGCCGGAGCCGCGGCTCACTAGGCTAATCCTCCGCCTAGCGGCGCCGGCACACCGGGTTCTAGTCCCGGTCGGGGCGCCGGATTCTGTCCCGGTTGCCCCTCTTCCAGGCCAGCCCTCTGCTGTGGCCAGGGAGTGCAGTGGAGGATGGCCCAGGTGCTTGGGCCCTGCACCCCATGGGAGACCAGGAAAAGCACCTGGCTCCTGGCTCCTGCCATCGGATCAGCGCGGTGCGCCGGCCGCAGCGCACCGGCCGCGGCGGCCATTGGAGGGTGAACCAATGGCAAAAGGAAGACCTTTCTCTCTGTCTCTCTCTCTCACTGTCCACTCTGCCTGTCCAAAAAAAAAAAAACAAAAAAAAAAAAACAAATGCGGGAACAAGATGTGGCAGACGCTTTTAGACACGGACGGCAAGAAACCCATGCAAGGCAATAAATCACCTGCTGACAGGGCGATGCCTCACTGTCCTGTGGAAGTAGTCACCAGTTTTGAGCAGGAGGAACAGGTATCATGTCAGAATAGCAGAAATGTTATTCAGGCTGTAGTGTGTGTGTTCAGACGGGAAGACAGACTTCCAACAACTCTCAGTAACCTGCATTTTTCAACATGCTTTAAAATATGGATATGTAGAACATCTTTTTCAAGAATACATTTTTGATTATAAATCACAGTCATCCCTTTAAAAATCAGTGCCCCAATAAGGGACATCTCATATTACCTATTGTCACCATCTTATCCTTACTTTAGGAAACTACATTTCGATTTGTATATAGCAGGTGCTTTGGACATGGTTTATTTATGCACATATATGTGGAAAGACGTACGCCACAAGCCTCGGAGCCCCAACATTGAACAAGGCACATGGCCCTTTCCCTGGTGGTCCTTAGGCATAGTAGAAAAACTATGGAATGTTTCCCTGGTGAGCATTTTACATGCATAGTCTCACACAACACTTGCAGCAGTAGTCCTATGAAACTGACATTCTTGTTGCCTTTTACAAATGAGGAGAAGCGCAGCCAGGCTGAGTACCTGCCCACGGTTGCCTGATGACGAGTGATGGAGGTGGAGCCAGCCTTGTGGCTCAGCAGATGAAGTCACTGCCTGCAACACCAGCATCCAATATAAACGCCAGTTAGAGACTGAGCGGCTCCGCTTCCAGTCCAGCTCCCTGCTAACTGCCTGGAAGAGCAGCAGACCGTGGCCCAGAGGCTTGGGCCCTGCCACCCACGTGGGAGCATGGAACACTTTGGGGGAGTCCCAGGCTCCTGCCTTTAGTCTTGCCCAGCCCTGGCCATTTGTAACTCTGCCTTTCAAATTAAGAAATAAATCTTTGTTTTGATAAATAAAAAAAAGACTAACGAAGGCCAAGCTCAGATACGGTTTGGTTGGCTTCATTTGGGCTGATTTGGCTGTGCATTGGCAGAGATTTCCTTATCTAGGGGACCTACAAAAGATTCATGAAAATACAACTAAAGGATAAACTCACTTTGGGGAAAACCATTTTGAATCCCATGCAGAGATTTTGTATAATGCGCACTTCCAGGAGTTTTTGATGACGTCTCACGTTATGATTATCCGAGCCAGAAATGCGGAAGAACACCCTGGACCTGAAGAATGTCTCTGTATTTTGTTTTCAGATTTCTGATTCCACGTGCTTTGTGAGGGCGCAAGCCACCCTGCCTTTGCGCTCGCCCCACTTCCTTCCCAGGCTGCCTGTGAAGTTGCTGGTCACGGAGCCACAGCTTCCTGACACGCTCACCCCATCCGAAGGAAAAGCTCCCAGGGCCGCTCTCCACTCCTCACCTCTGCCCACTCACCTGTTTGTTTTTCTCTGTGGCTGGGGCTTCTTCCTGGTCACTCAAGACCCAAATGTAGCAGCGTTCTTTACTCTCCCGTTGTAATGTCTGTAAGAATCATTTAGACAGTTTAGTAATGAGTAAACTAGAACTATTGAAGAATCCAACATTAACGGCGATTAAGTTGCACCTGCCTTGTAACGCACAGTGTAATTATACCTTGCTCCTTTTTATGGGAGCGCATCCGGATTACTGTGTGTGACTCAGTGGGAGGAGTTAGAAGCAGAGAGGCCAAGTCTCCAGTGCATACGGTTTATGAGTACTTTACAACAGTAAGCAGTGCGTGCAGGTTTCAGGGGTTTTCATGTAGGCCTGTACTTCATTGAAATAAAAAGCCAGAAGTCCTTCCACAGCTCACTGAATTGTTGTTTCTGCCCCCTGAAAGAATGCTCAGGTTTCCTCACCTCTAGTAAGCCATTTATTTTCTTTCTGATCAGTCCTACTTAGTGAAAAAAATTTGATAAAAAATTTAAAGTCCAGATTTAACCTGGTTTGTATAGACTAATAGTCCTCACCTGGATGCTGTTAATCCTGGAATTTAAAAATTATCTATTGGATTTGTTGTACAAGGATATTACAAATATGTCCTGCTGATAATGTGACTCATTTCCACCACATTTTCCATGAATTCAACTAAGATTTTTCCAGAGAAAAATAGTGTATTCACTGGAGAGTGATCTACATAATGAAAAGAAAAGAATGCATTTATCCTGGATCATGTATTACTATTAAATATTTTGCTTGACCTATGCAAACTGTTAGGCTTCCTAGAAATCAGTGTGGTAAGTTCATTCTCAAAATCTTATCGCAGTTCAGGTACGTAGGATCTCACGGTTTGACACAGCACAGCATTGTACACCGTCGGCAGGATTGTGGTTGGCTGCGTTAGGGAGTGGTCCGGTGCATCTCTGCTGAACAGGACAGCATCGAGTGTTCTCCTCCCAGGATGCCCTTCCTGCCCCGGACACGGGCTTTTGCTGCACTATTGCATCTGCTTTGACGAGGGCTTCTCTCCTCTCCTTTCTTGGTGTGAGCCCCTCTGTGCCCTTGCTGATGAGCTCCTTCTGACGACAGGGACACCGTGTCCTCAGGCACGTCCCGTAAGAAGGGGATGAGCTCCAGAAGCGGCAGATGCCGTAACCTGAGAGGAAGGACCTGTTCCTTCAGGCCCTGCCAGCCCAGGCAGGCCCCTCCCCGCGGCGCTGTAATTTACGGCCATGCAGATGATTGACAGGTGTCCACATTGATGGCATAAAGGTGCGAGAACTGTCATCACACCAACTGGCGGGCCTGCAAAGCCTTCTCATTGCTTTTTCTTTTTTTTCCCCATGAGCAAGTGCACTGTCTCCTTTAGACCTCCTGTCTTTAATCTTCACTCTTACACACAGGTGTGGATTTACTATGACGAATGCGGCTTAAATGGGAGAGCCCTGTACTTGCAGGAGGTTAGTCTAAGGCCCTGTGCAAAAGCTCAGAAAAGCAATGACGTGGTCATAAGCTCATGCAGAATTTGAAAACACGGGAGTTAGTCCGCTGAATGGTTTTATAGCTCAGTTTGTGTTAGCAATTTGGTCTCCATGACTTTAAATAATGTGCCCCAGCTTACAAAGACTTGGTCTCACAAAATCTAACTTGTCCCAGACTGGCACCCAAGGAGTAATTATTGACTTTGTGTTGAATGAGGGAATAAGTGTAAGATGTGATGGGAAGGAGGAGGTTGAATATGTCGTTAATGAAATTACTTTAACATGAGCATTTCTGGTGAATTTGTCCCACTTACTGTTTATGTGATGTCTTCGAGTTCACACAGCTTCAGGAATCTTTCCTGAATCTCTCTGCCAGCCCTGGCGCTGGGTTTGACCATCAGTTAAACTTGCTGACAGTGGCATGTTCACACACCTGCTCTTCCTAGGACGGGGTTATTACACTCGGTGGCTGAAGAGGAAATGCAGCCTCAACGCTGCCTGGCCGGGTGGTTGGCCGTGGTGGAGCATGGCAGTGCTGGGATGCAGCCCACACCCTCTGCTACAGAGTAAACCCTTTGCCTTAGAACACGGTGTTTGCAAGTGAATTAAATGAAAACTTGCTCTACAGACAAGGAGCGTGCCATAGAATAAAACTGATAACGGTGTTGACCCCAAGTGATGACCGTCTCCCTCCTTCCCTTCCTTTTTCTCTTGATGCAGCTGTTTCATATCATTCAGCGGCCTTGAAGCTGGAGGTTTTTTGTGGTAATTGAGCCGAACTTCTACTGAATACAAGATGAAAATGTGGTTGCTGTTCAGCCCTCTATTGCTAGTGTCTTTTGCAAGCAGTCTGTCAGGTAAGAAATAATGTTTGCATCTTTGCCATAAATTGTATCAATATAATTGATGCATTTTTTTCATTAAAGCTATTGTATAAAGTCAGAGTTAATGTTTTCTTTTGACGTCTGAGAATATAGATACATAAATATAAGTAGCTACATATTTATTGAAGTAGAGCCTGTCTCATTTTTTATTTTTACTTTTAATTAAATTTTACAAGATTAGTCATTCTTGCATACTAGGGAGCTGGTAAATGCGTTTTAAGATATTAATTTACTTTGGAAGGCAAAGTGACAGAGGGAGAGACAGAGAGAGACCTTTTATTATGGATTCATTACCCCCAAGGGGCTGTAATAGTCAGGTCTGGGTGTGGCAGAAGTCAGAAGCCAGGAATTCCATCCCAGGTTCCCATATGGGTGTCAGCAGCCCAAGTACTTGGTCCATCTTGCACTGGTTTCTCAAGCACGTAGGCAGGAAACCAGATCAAAATCAGAGCAGCCAGCACTCTGATATGGGAAACTTGCATTACAAGCAGTGGTTTAACCACCTGCTGGGCTAGTAAGCATGTAACCTCTGGATCTCTGCAGGCGGTCAGGGGGAAAGGGATTATCCCTGGTGGGTGGCATTTATCCATTCCTGGGAAGTAAATGTTCCTGCTACAGCCAGTTCCAACCTGATACCCTGTAGCGTGCAGCTGGAAGGCTCCATGAATAGCTCACCATCCTGTGGTGTTTGCACCATCCAGCTTCAGGAGTCGGAACTTCAATAAATCAAGTGAAAATAAAATATAGTAAAACCAGCTTAGAAATAAGGGGGTTTTAAGGATTTCCCTCTTGTTTATAATATTGCATATTTATTTTTAAATATTTATTTGAGAAGCAGGTACACACAGACACACACACAGAGATGCTGGTTCATTCCACAAATGCCTTCAACAGCCAGGGCTAGGTCAGGTGAACGCTGGGAGGTGAGCACTCGGTGCAGGTCTCCTGCGTGTCTGACAGGGACGTAACCACTAGAGGCATTACTGCTGCCTCCCGGGTCTGGGATCAGACGTGGAGCTGGGACTCACACCCGGGGACTCGTATCAGATGCGTAATTACTAGACCAAAGCCCTGCCCACCTTTATTTATTTTTAAGTTACATAATTGAATTCTGATATTGGCTAGGTCTGACACCAGGCACACTGTAGAATCCTCTGTCTCCCGTGTAGTCAGTCTCATGAGAAACGACGTGTGAAGTCACCTACAGTGTGTGCTCAGACGTTAAGACAAAGCGATTTTGTTTTAAGACAGATACGATATTTCTGTCTTTCACAGACAGGCATGACGTAGTCAGAGGCATTTCCTATAAGGAGAGATGCGGGATGTTTTTGTCTGATGTTCTCCAGCATCATTTTTTCTCATCACCGTGACCTTGACGCAGGAGGTGCTTGTGGGGTTGCCGTTCTGCAGCTTTGTCATCCCTGGCAGTTGCTGTGAGGGTGAAGCCGAGAGGGATCCTCTTGTATTTATTATTTATTATAAAGATATTAAAGTGCTGGTTTATTTTGGGGAGCTGCCTCCACATTCTGAAAAAGATAATTTCATCAGTACCTAAGAATTTTAATGTCATTGATAAGTACATATTTTATAACCACAATGGTTATATATGTGCACATATATGCATAATTATATGTATTATGAATATACATACTTATATACACACATTTTTGTTACATAAATGAAATTTAAGTAAACTTAAGTAAAGCTATTGTAATGAAGTCTTATTTGTATGGACAAAACAGAAAACTTATTAATATTGTTTATAATGAACATGAACACTAATTCTGTTGACCACCCCCTGTAGTGCTACGCCTATAAAATATAAAGGTAACAAATAGACACTGTACTTCAGCAGCCTTAGAGTGACGGGCAGGGCCTCATCGCATAAACTGGCATCCCAGTCACTGGGGATCTGTGTTTGCGCCACAGCTCGGAGAACTGCTTCCTGGCCAACGCTGTTTATCCTTTTGTTTCAGAGTTTACCTGGCACAGAAGGTACGGTCATGGAGGTAAGTTGACAAAAGGGTAAACCTTTTCTCAGTTGGATTGCATTGCATGTCTACTTTCTAAACTTGAACACAAATGGTTTGTGTTAGATCACCTGTAGATTTTGGAAAGACTATCTTTCTAGTATCATAAGGCAACTTGTTTGAGTGCTGAAATGAATGGATGGATTATCACAAACGCATATCTCTCTAGAGGATGATAGCCGGTGGGAAATAGTCAATGTGGATGTACTTATTCATTCAGGCTTCGTGACAGTGCTGTGCCACTCACTTTTGAAACTGTATTTTAGTTATTGTAAGCTTCTAAGTTTGTTTGAAAGTCCCTTGCTTTCCTGTAAGAGAGAAAACTAAAGTTACTGAACTTGAAGCTTGAAGACTGAGTCCAGCTGGACGCACACAGGTGTTGCAGAATCGGTTGTTTAAGATGCATGGAATATAAAGTCATCCTGCTGCTTTAGCTGGTACTTTGATGACTGCTGAGCAGTTCTTGCAGAAATACGGCAGCCTCTGCGCTGTGGGTGACAGCCCGGGGTAAGCCAGCCTGGGTATGCCTTCAGCTCGCCACTCACTAGTGATCCAGAAGTCTGATCCACCCTGCCCCACCTCCTGAGCCTTGCCTTTCCAGTCTGTAGAAATCACAGGGCGAGGAGAGGGATACAAAAGCAACACAGTGGCAGCTTCCAGCGCAGTGCTCCAGCCTGTCCGTGCTCACGGAGCGGAGCAGACGTGGTAACTTACAGCAGCCGCACAGTAACAGTGAGAGTGGAAGTCCAGGGGCATCTCTGAGTCGGCAGCGCTACACCAAATCAAGGCTGCGCACGCCAGATGAGTGAGCAGGACTCAGACTTGTAGGAAAGGAACTGGGAAGTCTGCTCAGATTGCATCCAAACCACAGATTTCCGCCTGGGGAGCTGGGAATCGCTACGGAAGATCAGTAAGGTGTTCTGATCAGAGAGGTGTTCTTCCCTGCCCTTCATGAACCTGATCACAGAGCAGGACATAAGTAAATAGGGAAACTGTAAAAGAAACGTTATGATGGTGCTCTGTAAGAAGTATTTGAGCAATGAAGGTGTATTTAATGATGGAGGTAGTAGGCAGAGAACCATGAAGATTTTCAGTGTTAGAAGTGAAACTAATTCTAAACAGAGGAAGGAACTCAGATAAAATTATGGGCTGCATTTGGGTATTTTTCTAAGTATCCAAGTGTGTTTTGCAGGATGGTGGTAGGAACTGCACTGAAAAAAAGAACCCATGATCACATAGATTTTGGGAAAAAATGGCTAACCGAAGTTCAGTAATTTGGTATTGACCCTAAATAGTAAGCAGTTACCCTTCTTGCATAGTAAGCATAACGTGTGCGTTCCATTCCCAAGGCTGCTATGGTGAAGCCCCAGTCTGGGTGGTTTAGAACAGAAATGTGTCGCCTCACAGTTCTGCAGGCTGCAGTGCAAATTCAAGAACTCAAAACCGAGGCAAGGCCACCTTCCCTCTGAAAGCACACAGGGACAGGTGCCTTTCTTGCCTCTTCTGTCTCTGTTTACCTCAGAACACCCGGCTTGGGCTGGCATGATTCCTCTCTCAGCACCCAGCGGTGCGTGACTTCTGCGTCCTCTTGGAGTTTTCCTTCTGTGTGTGTCTGTCTCTGTGCCCACATTTTCCTGCTTCTGAGGAAAATATGTTGAATTAAGACCTACCTGAAGACCTAATTTTAAAAATTCATTTATTTATTTGAAAGAGTTACAGAGAAGGAAGGAGGAATAGAGAGAAAGATCGATCTTCCATCTGCTGGTTCACTCCCAGATGGCCACAACAGCCAGGACTGGGCCAAGCCGAAGTCAGGAGCCAGAAGCTTCTTCCCCGCTCTCCCACATGGGTGGCAGGAGCCCCATCGCCTGGGCCACCTTCAGCTACGTTTACCAGGCCATTAACAGAGAGCTGGATTGGAAGTGGAGCAACTGGGACCCTAACTGGCACCCATAAGGGATGCAGACATGTCAGGCGGTGGTTTACCCACTGCCAGCAACGCCGGCCCTCTTCCTTAAAAGATCCAGTGTCCATTTAAGAACACCATCTACTGAACTGGGAGTTAAGATATCATCATATCTAATAGATCATCTTGCATATATATATGTATTAAGCTTTTATGATTATTTTTCAAAATATTTATTTATTTGAAAGGCAAAGTTACAGAGAGGCAGAGAGAGAGAGAGAGAGAGAGAGAGAGAGGTCTTCCATCTGCCAGTTCACTCCCCAAATGGCTGCAATAGCCAGAGCTGTGCTGATCTGAAGCCAGGGACCAAGAGATTCTTGCACATCTTCCATATGGTGCAGGGACCCAAACACTTGGGGCATCTTCTTCTGCTTTCCCAGGCCATAGCAGAGAGCTGAATGGGAAGTGGAGCAGCTAGGACTCGAACTGGTACCCATATGGGATGCCGGCACTGCAGGCGACAGCTTTACCTGCCACACCACAGTGCTGTGACCCCTAAATGATTATTTTAATAGCAGTCTTTATAGCCTACCTGAGTAGCTTTTAAGACAAACATAAGCATTTTTATTTGAAAAATAAAGTACATCATGGATTATATAAAATAATTAAATCCAGTTTCATTCTTCATCATATCTTTAAGAAGTTTCTCTTTTATATTTTTAGTAAAAAATAAAGCAATGAGTATGTCCTATGAGATAAGAAAAATAAGTTACACATAGTCAACTGATAACATTTATATATAATTATTAATAATTATTAATTAAAATATTTGCTACTAAATATTTACTGTCTCCTGGTTCTCTCCGCAAACGACTGCAACAGCCAGAACTGGGCCAGGTCAAAGCCCGTAGCCCAGAACTTCACCCCAGTCTCTCACTGGGTAGTAGTGTTATCGGAGAAGGCAGGGTTCTTGTTTTCACGCAAGAAAGAATTCAGGCGTGAGACAGAGAGCAGGGGAAAGCAACATAGCAAGGTTTATTAGGGCAGGGACATCTGTAAGAACGGATGGGCACCTCTCCAGACAGAGCCTGAGAGAGAGTGCCCAGTTGCTCAGACTGGGGGAGAGCGGGGTTACATGGTTGAGTGGAGAGAAGACACCTGGGCAGGCCAGGCAGGAGCCTCAGCAGAGAGAGGACTGAGCGTGCGCAGTCTGGTTGAGGCTGGGGGTTTTTAAGAAGATGGGCCATGCCTCCTCACTTCTTCTCCTCCTGGAACAAAGGACTTTTTGCATGTAAATACGAAAAATTCCTATCTGAATCCCCCCACCCGGACCCCCTCCCCCGAGTTATCAGACAGGGAGAGGCCTGGCCGGCCTGGCCCACCTTAGAGGAGCCCTAGAGGAAGGATGGTTATTGGGTAGAAGGGGCAGGGCGTTTGAAGTGCAGATAGTGGGCTGCACCTGGAAGGTCATCGGGATGACTTTCAGATGCGGATGCTGGACCTGGATGTCAGTGCCTTAGGCCTTTGTCACACACACATAAGCTCATTTCTGACTTCCTACCTAACAGTAGGACCCCAAGTCCATGAGCTGTCCAGTGAGGCCTGCCGGACTGTGCATTAGCAGGAATCTGGATCCTAAGCAGTGTGAGCTGAACTCAGAGCAGCACGTCTGTATGGAACGTGGGCAGCCCAAGTAGCTACCTCACCACTGTGCCAAACACCTGCCCCATATTTTATTTTCATTTTTTTTTATTTTTTATTTATTTTTTGACAGGCAGAGTGGACAGTGAGAGAGAGAGACAGAGAGAAAGGTCTTCCTTTGCCGTTGGTTCACCCTCCAATGGCTGCCGTGGCCGGCGCACTGCGCTGATCCGATGGCAGGAGCCAGGTACTTCTCCTGGTCTCCCATGGGGTGCAGGGCCCAAGCACCTGGGCCATCCTCCACTGCCCTCCCTGGCCACAGCAGAGAGCTGGCCTGGAAGAGGGGCAACCGGGACAGAATCCGGCGCCCCGACCAGGACTAGAACCTAGTGTGCCGGCGCCATAAGGCGGAGGATTAGCCTAGTGAGCCGCGGCGCCGGCCCCATATTTTATTTTCATTTTTACTTATTTACTTGAAAGGCAGATTACAGAGATGAGAGAGTGCTGCTGTCCCTTGGTTCACTGCCCATGTGCCCACAGCAGCTGGGATTGGGTTGGGACCAAGTCCAGGAGCTGGGAAGTCAATCCAGGTCTCCCGCTTGGGTGGCAGTAGCCCATTCTCTGGTCCTTCCAAGATCCATAGCAGAAGGAAGCCAGAATTGGGGGGGAGGAGGTCTCAACTCTTTACTGATGCAGGCACCCCCATATGGGATGCGGGCTCTTAACTGGTATCTTAACTGCTAGGCCAAATACCCACCCTGGAAATAAATATTTAATTTACATGGAGTTTCCAGTTACAGCGTCTGCCTTTACCATTACTTCAAGGGATTAAAAAAAAAACTATACCTAAAATAAAAATCAGTGGTTCTTTAATTCCTTTGTAATTCTGTGAGAAAATGTGAAAATAGGAAATAATATAGCAGCATAGCATTTGTTTTATAAGAATTAGAATGAAATAATCTGTAATATTTACTTTGCACACTTACAGTTAGTGTATGGCTCCATAACACCCGGCGCTAATATTGGAAGCATTAATTCTCTTCATTGCTTTGCTGCAGGGAGAAGGAGACAGGAAATTTCTCACGTCTTTGCAGTACTTGCGTCACCAGAGAGAAGTCCTGGGGTTCTCATCGTCACCCAAGAGAGAATTCAGGCGTGAGACAGAGCAGAGTAGCAAGGTTTATGGGGGACAGGGCATCTGTCAAAACAGACGGGACAGAGAAAGGGTGCCCAGTCACTCAGTCTGGGAGAGTGAGGCTACATCGTTAAATGGGGAGACTACGCCGGGCAGGCCAGGCGGGCGGCTCAGCAGAGACCCGGGAGAGCTTGTTCAGACTGGGGCTAGTCAGGGAGAGGGGGTCCAGGTTGCTCCTTCCCCTCCTGTCTTCCCCCTCTTCTAGGACACAAGGTTTGCTGAGTATAAATTAGGAGA